CATTGATCAAATACTGAAATTGGCAGCCATGTCTATCCATTGATCCAATACTGAAATGTGCAGCCATGTCTGAACATTGATCAAATACTGAGATTGGAAACCATGTCTAAACATTGATCAAATACTGAGATTGGCAACCATGTTTAAACATTGATCCAATACTGAGATTGGCAACCATGTTTAAACATTGATCCAATACTGAGATTGGCAACCATGTCTAAACATTGATCCAATACTGAGATTGGCAGCCATGTCTGAACATTGATCCAATACTGAGATTGGCAGCCATGTCTAAACATTGATCAAATACTGAGATTGGCAACCATGTCTAAACATTGATCCAATACTATGATTGGCAGCTATATCTGAACATTGATCAAATACTGAGATTGGCAGCCATGTCTGAACATTGATCCAATACTGAGATTGGCAACCATGTCTGAACATTGATCCAATACTGAGATTGGCACCATCTGAACATTGATCAAATACTGAGATTGGCAAGCCATGTCTGAACATTGATCAAATATTGAGATTGACAACCATGTCTAAACATTGATCCAATACTGCAATTGGCAGCCATGTCTGAACATTGATCAAATACGGAGATTGGTGACCATGTCTGGGTGAATTTGAATTTGATTTGTTAGAAATATCTAATTCACATATGCCAGATGACAATTTATTGTATTTTTTATTCTTTTAAATTATGGAAAGATAATGGTAATTGTTTTACTTCATCACAAAATTATTTTACTCTCAATATCCTCCAGTTCTCACATGAAGAACCTCTTACTTTCACATAGTACATTTTGAACACATTGCAATGTTATATTGTCCACCAGACAACTGCACAGATTGGTTAGGCAGCACATCACAAAAAGAATAAATTCATTAGCACCTCACCTTGTATTATATTCACTGGAATCTCCCATTGTTCAGTATAATATGGTGGATGGTTGTTAATAAGAGTTTCTAGTCCACTCATTGATATTATCGTATCCACTTTATATTTATCAGCTAATTTTTTAGCATTCACATCTTTACTTACAGGCTGAAAAAAAATAATAAGGTTTTCATTTCTATTTTGAATTGGTATTCACTCCTTTAAACACTCAAGACTAGCTACCAATTTTGTTTTCAACATCAAAATGTTAGTTGAGGTTCACATGAACACTTTTATATATTTTGTTATAGTCCCTTTGAAGAAAGTTCTCAAAATGGTACAAATAACTTTGAAACAGTGCTCATCTAACATAATTAAAAATAAACGAGAATCCATCATGAACTTGTACACCATATTAAACCTACTTCAAGGCATCCCAAACATTGATTAAAGAATTTACTATTACAATATTATAACAAACTGCATACAGCGTTGGGAGCAATTACCAGTCAGCAAACAGTCATTTAACCACTCAATAATGTGTTTGTGAATCTTAAGTACTTTTTCCCCTAAACTTGAACCTTAACCAAGGCATATCTTTGAAAGAAAAACAATTCTCAGACTGTACTAGCATAGGAAAATTGAGTAATATAAATGAGCAATTCCATAAAATATGAGTCACAAGTTCAATATGAAGTCCATACCTGTCTTTTCCACTCTGTGCAGGAGCTTTGTGGAATTGAATATACAACATCACATGGTGGGAAATCACATACCATATTAGAATACTGTCTAGATACAAATGTCTTCTTTTCGTATAACGGTATTACCTTATATGAAACATTACCCTGGGAATTTAATTTAGATATTAGTATTTGTTCTATCTGAAGTGCATTTCCATAGAAACACATAAAAATCAAACCTTGCATTTGTTATACAATGAATCATTAAAATATTACTTATTCTGACCATGGAAATGTCAATGTAATTTATGTAAACACATGCACTGCTAATAGAGCATACATGATAAAATGATACACATATCTAATTACTGTTTGGGAATGTATATTAATTAAATTTATATGTTTTAAATGTTTATCAGTTAAAAATTGCATTCACACATCGCACATTTGTGAGATACCATCTCCTGATCAATATATATATAATACAATGTTGAAATTGTAGATTGGTAATGAAAAATTAAATTCAGAATGCAAATTTAAACGGTCAACAGTTTTTAAATTTTCAACAATAGACAGTTTTTATATTGTATCTAAAGGTAAAGAACCTTCAGAACACTTAAAATTAATTGTGGAGAAAGTTAAGGACAATTTATCTACTTTTAATATTTAATAATTTTTACATAATTTTATGTTTTTAGCTTGTTCTGGGAGTGATGATTGCAAAGTGAAAACTCAACTTTAAAATGTTTCATATGTGTTTCCCACATCAATTTGTGCATATTCGAATTAATTTATTTCACAAAATATGTTGCATACATGTGATAGCCCCAAATAGCAATATCCACTCAGAATACAACTTTACTGAAAGTTTCTGTGAATAAGCAACACATTTAACAAAAAAAAAACAAATTATTGATAGAGTGATCTCACCAGTGTTAATAATGTCTTGACACGTTTCAACATAGAGTCTGATGGAAATGACATGCCAGTACTTATACCTAGAGTCTGGTACAATGAATACTGTTGTGGATACATGCATAGTGAGCTTTTATAGCATGCCATCAACTCCTGAAAAATTAAAACACATTGTTATGGTACAATGAGACACTTTCAAAGACATACAGGGTTACTATTTACTTTGCGAGAAACACATATCATGTAATTTAACTGAAATTTAGTTGACTCTGCCTTAAGATACATAATGAATATATCATGAATGTTGTCTTGAATGGCACACTATATTTCAATTTTTTGATGATTAACAAACAATGAACTAACTCACAAACAATCACACATGTGAGCCAGTAAGTTTCAAGCGTAAAAATGCTGATTTATGGATCACCTGTGATAGAATGTTCAATTTCATTGTATCCCTTGCATAGGGGTTTTTCTAGAGAAAAAATGCAAGAGGCAAGAGGAGAACTGCAATTCAGTGGTGCCACCAATTGGGGGAGATTGGGTTCTTTCTACCAGGGTGTGGAGTTTTTGATAGTTCTAAGTTAAAATGGAACATTCTATGGCTTCCTTGGGGCCAAAATTACTATCAGACATGTCACAGTTGAAGACTGTGGCCACATGTGATCTCTGGTCAATCAGAATTTTACGGATCTGCTCCCCAGGGTAAGGGGGTGCATGGCCATGGCATGAGGACACTGCGTCCCTGTTCCCTTGTTTAAAAAAATTCATGCCTTGCATATATTCCAACTTACATAGCATATAAGCTGCATACTATATACTTAGACAGCAACATCTTCTGGCAAATTAACATAAATACTTTTCTCCTTTAATACGTTTTTTTTTCTCATTTCCATCTTTCATTGATTTACTGTTTATTGCTTATTTTTTTTTATTATTATTTCATCTATTTTTTGTTCAATATTATTACCTACATATATAAATAATTTTTTTGTAATTTTAGTTTGTTGATTTTTTTTTTTAAACCATTGTTGTGCTTTAGACAGTAATTTGTATGTTTTATATATGTGTTTTAGCAGTTAGTGTAACCATTGTAATTCCTTCTGAGGAATTATAAGTGTTTCAATAAACCTATATACTATAGACACAACAAACCCATTCCTTTCATTTCATTTTTATAAATATTTATAAATTTCACAATTCAGTATGAAATGAGAGGAATGGATTAACACATTTTCAAATGCATCATTGGGTTCTGTACTCTTTGATTGGGTGTCATTGAAATTTATAAATAGTTACAGAAATGGAAAAAAAATGGGTTTGTTGTGCCAATAGTATTTAATTACCGTATACCACTTTAATTTTGTGGGAAAAAAAATCAGTCAAAATCACAAACATTTATAGCATTGAACATCTCTCTGGGATTATACAAAGGTTCTACATTACGGAGTCTGTGGTCACTTTCTCAGAATTTTGTCTTTACCAATGCCAAACAATCTTGAAATTGCAAAAAATTTGAGGAGTAAAAATTAAACACTTTACACACAATATGTTATATTACAGTTAGCAAATTATATAAAAGTTATTCTGTGACAAACAATAGTATTCCCATTACACATACGTCTACATATCTGTTAACATCATTATTAATGAAATTATAATCTTCTGGGCAATGCCTTGCAATATATTCTAAATATCTGTTGAATTCCTCCTGTTCTGCCATGACTTTTGTCTTTAATTCCTAATGAGAGAAATATACGATTGTATGTTAGAAGGACAAGTGACGTAATTTGCTCTATTTAAGGTGCATACGCTTACGTAAATAACAGAGGTGTGTTTATAGTCAAAATAAGTCGTATTTTAATGATCCAGTATACAATAAAAACTATTTTTAGGCAAATATATGTAGTTCTACTCAAGATGTGCTTCTAAAGCAGCAAATCATGATACTTGAATAGACAGCTCACCAACAAGGCTACCATTGTCTGATTCATGTGGTTTCGCTGACCATCCATGGCCCTTCCACTGAACACATATGTGATATTGATAGAAAAAGCTGTATTTGACTTCAGTTAAATTAAATGTTTTTTGATTGGGCATGCCAATGAACCATCAATCAGCACTCCTGTAACAAGAACTCACAACAATTTTAACCAATAGATTTTGTTGTCTCATATCACAGTTTAACTGATAAAAACATGCATTATAACAAATGACTTTGTGTTGCATTCACCATGGAAACGCATCAACAGGGAATACAGGTTTATAGTTTGAATTTTGTCAAAATATAATGGTGAGGTGATGGAGGAATTAATGAACTTTGACTGGCAAAAATACAGGCCTACCACAAAGAATGAAACAATTTCAGCAATAGTGGCTTGAAACAGGGTCATTTCTAAAATATTTTATTTTTATTAGGCCACTACATAAACTAAGAAAATAATTTTCAGATCCATGTGGCATATAGTCCATTTTTTCATTTCTGGATGTTATGTGTGAAATAAAACAGAAAAACAGGACATACACAAGTTATAGCATTGTAGAGGCATCAAAACATCACATGGGATTCAACAAATAATAAACTATTTTTGATGGTGGTTACTTTTGATGAAGTAAAGATATCTCAACCACCTGAAAGATAGGCATAAGTTCAATATTGAAATATATAAATAAAGGGAAATTGAAGTACAAAATCAAATAATTTTATTTTTGTGGTAGGCGTTTGATCTGTGTCATTCACACATTATGCCAGATGCTGCAGTGTACAGAAAAAATCCCCAAACTGGTACTACAGTATATGTTCTATTAGAAGTGCATATAAAACAAAAATGGCATGTATACTAGATCATTAAAATATGACTTATTTTGTTCATAGACACACGTCTGTCATTTACGTAAGTGTATGTGCCACTAATAGAGCAAATGCAGTAACTGCTATCAATACTTGAATAATCGTTGTGCCTCCCCTATTTGCATGCTCAGTTGCAGCAACAGTAAGCTTTCACAATGTTTAATCTAACTTTCTGTTTCTGATTTTTGATGGTAACCATTTCTTTTGAACAATTTATGGTTTTCACAGCCAAAGTGACAGAATTTTGATGTACCGGTAGTCCACAAGTGAACAGCGCTAATGGCCACTTGACATGTTTAATGACCATCAAACCTGTTTTATCAAAAGTTACAGACATAGTTCCCCAAATCAAGTGGCTCATTCTAAAACACTGGTACTATGTGATGGTACTCACAAATACAGATAATTTGTTGCCGTATTTTATCAGAATATGATTGTAGCAGGAAAATATTATGGTGAAAAAATGTCCTTGTAGTAATCACCAGTAATCATGCTACAAACGCAATCAATATTTTTGTGCCAAGTGACATTTTCAGAAATTGAAGTCACTGCTGTCCCTCCTTATTTTTGTCTTAGATGCTAATTGCAAATGATAGACTTTTACGATATGTAATCCGCATAGGAGAATATGCGCATGATAAGTCCTCTAAATAATAATAATAATAATAATAATAAATAAATGTATTGTGACAAACCATGCAGTCTCGATCTCAAACATAATCCTGTGTGTTTGGAAGGCATGGCAGACTGTATTCAGATTTATTTTGTCGAGTGACAGTTGGCTCCTGGAATCAAACCTTTTCTGTGATTCACTCACCATAAACGTAGTCATCTCTTGTTGATTAGGATACATGCGTAACATCTCAGTGTGGAAGTGTTGAAATTTTCTCCACAACTTGAGGTACTGTCGTTTATCATGGCTTGTGAGATTTGAAAATCTGGGGTATGGAAACTGAGGTTTGGAACTTTGCAACAGCCTCTTAACTTGATATGGTTTCAATGGCTTGGGTAATGTCTTTTTCCTGTGGCAAATTATTATAATACTTCCATGTAATATTGGGCACACACTTTTCGCAACATTAAACAGCATTTCCTGGAAATGATCCTTAATTTTAGAGCCAACAGACAAAATTTTAGTCAATTTTCGTTTTTACTCAAAAATTGTGGCTATTTTTGAACCAATCTTCTGAAAAAGAGTGCAGACTATAAACAGGACTATTTTGTGAATTTGTGATTAAAAGAGGGTACTGCATGGTGGTGAAAAGGTGATAATACACTGTACATGGCACCTTCCCTTATAATGTGAAACATTGAAATTCGCAAATCCTTAACAAAATTTAAACTTGCCAACCACTATCTGAAAATTGAATCAGGTTGGCATACAGGAATGGATATTAAGACAGAGTCTGCAATATGAGCGACAATGACTATGTTGAAGATTAACAACATTTTGTCTTAAATCGTCCTCGTTATAATGAAATAAGGTTAAAACTTTACATTGTAGCTAATAAATGTATACCAAATTTTGACAAACTTAGTAATAACTATCATCATTATTTACTACCTAGATACAAAATACCATATTTGGTTGTACTGCTATATATATACTTACTTTTCAAGTTTCTTAACATTGTGTGACGGTACATGCATTTGTAAAAGATTCTCATATCTTGGATTTGTGGAGTAGGTTTTAAAGACATCTTCACTAAAAAAGATGCTGTCTTTTGAATCACCATCAGCAACATCCCTAAATAAAAATATAAATTGTATACAACAAAATAAGTTCCACCATGGCCATCTGATCAGACATTTTGCATCATTCTTTCATTTTATTTACATAAGAGTTAAACAAATTTCAATTGTACAAGAGAAGGAGTTTAGTAGGTTCATTTATAGAAAAGAGAAAATGATCTGGGTAGGGAATGATCCTAAATTAGATTAACTTGTCTTAATGTATTTGCATACAATTGCATATAAACTGTCCATGACGAATAAACCTGCTAACATCTATATCCAGACTATGCCTTCATTGTCTGTCTGAGTGTATGTAACTTGATAAAACAGGTTTGATGATTGTCATTAAACATGTTAAACATATGTCAAGTGGCCATTAACGCTGCTGTCTTGTTAACATTTTAAAACTAAGCTTTAGGCTGGGATAACATTAACACATATATGCAGCACTTCAACCACAATAGATAATTTTATCAAAAACAATTAATGAAAGTGTTAATTTAAGTTTAAATTTTGAATAGCCAAGTTAGGTTCATTACAACACTCATTTTGGATTGTCCTTGAATATAAATATGTGAATAAAATTTAGAGACTCAAAAAGGCAGATAAAAACCATTTGACACGGCAACAAATGGTATTTTGGTGCAAATGAATATAATTTTAATAATAACTTTTCATACACCAGTTTCTATCATAGAGGGTGTACAATTTAATAGAGCTTCTCAGCAGCTGATCACGACCTCTTATTTAATTAGAATCTAATTTTATAAATATTCCCAAAATTTATCGTTAACAACATTCATGGCTAGTGTATCTGACAGCTAAATTACATTTGTCAGTTCTTAGTGAACAGGTATTTTACACAGCAATCACTTCATACCAATTGGGTATGAAGGTATTGAAAGTATTACGTTCAATATTGAATGTAGACTGCATCTTTTATTCAATCCACTTGTAATGAATTCTTTGTCTACTTCTATTCATTCCCAGAATTCTGTATGGCGAAAATGGTCAAAGAGGATTTTCTGATATGTATTTTGTCCTGATCTACTAGTATTTCTAAATGATTTTTTTATGATCTGAAATAAACATAATAATAATGTTATGTAAATTATGTTTTATTATTCATATAACACATTTGTAATTATATTTTAAAGAGACATGCATTGCGTTTTCATGTTTTTTTTTTCCCAATTTTTTTTTTAATGCATGTAATAATGAACCAAAATGATCTTTGCTGTACCAAATGAGTAAATATGTCACATGACATAAATCTAATATAATAGCACGCAAATAGATGAAAAAGATTTTGGTTGCATGAACATCCTACCATTGTACCTGATGTGAGTTCATGTGGTGTTGCCCAGGGACTCAGTGTTACACGGATTGAAAATATCAAGAAAATTTAACATATAGTTTACTTGACACCATTATCCTCATTCATTTTTACTATTCACGAAGGCTTTCAGCATTAGATGTGTTAAGTGGCAACCATCACGGTGAAAACAAAGGCATAAAACTCCCAGAAAACTGTATATTTTGGGTTTGGAACCTGCGATCAGACCAGCATTCAATCTGAATTGTGTAATACATTTGTTCATAATTGTATATTTTAATATATAATATAGAAAACTTCATTTTCAAGAATATATACTATAAATATAATATTTTATGGTATTCAAGATGAGATATTATATTAGGTGGAACCCCCACCCCTAACACTAATCCTACCGACAATGGTTCCCTAATTTATTTGTAGAATAGAATCTTTATTGCTATCAAACCCCATATTTGAGGTTTGGATGAAAAGTACAATAAGATAATAAATTCTGAACACATAAATAACAATACAGGAAAAAATCAAACAAGATGTTATATGCCCCTCCTAAGAACACATATAGAGGGGGGGGCATATACAATTGAATTGGGGATGACGGTTAGAGTTAGAATTAGGGGTGGGTTACAAAAGAAACTTTTTCCAAAATATATATTATCAGAGGTACATTACTTAGTATTTATTTGGATACTCTGATACTATACTATGCAATACCTGTGTCAAGGGGCATATCCCACAAAATTACTATTCTCATGCCCCTGTGCTGGTAACCAGACCCCAGCCTAGCTGCAGTTCTGTAGCTCTGCACCAGCAAAATCCAGAGCTACAGAACTGCGGCTAACCCCAGCCCAACTTTCTCCAATAGAGGGGTGGGGGGTAACCTTTGGAATGTGTGTGATTATACCAGATAAACAATCCAAGCAAAGTTAATCGCAACTTGTTTATTCATGAAATGAAATGAACTAGCCATGCCCATGGAAAGTAATATCACCCCCAATATCACGTTCCATACCTAGCTGCGGTTCCGTAGCTCTTTGGTGCGGGGGACGGTCGATTCGTCCCAAATCACATTCGTCCCAAGTCGATTCGTCCCACAAGTTGATTCGTCCCAAGTCGATTCGTCCCACAAGTTAATTCGTCCCAAAGTCGATTCGTCCCACAAGTTGATTCGTCCCAAAGTCGATTCGTCCCACAAGTCAATTCGTCAGATTTAAGGTTAGCCCACTACTAACTCGCCAAATAAGATTTCTAGACATCTCGACCCAAAAATGTCTCAACCCAAGACACTTCGACCCAAATTGGACATCTCGACCCAGACACCCAGGGCATCGTTGCGCCATTTTGTTTTTGCCGACGTTATATACAAATACACCTTACCTACAACGCTGAGTTATTAGTTAATAAATACAAATACACCGTACAAGTTATTAGTCAATAAATACAAATACACCTTCGTGCAACGTAGAGTTATTAGTTAATAAATACAAATACACCGGACATTCAACGTACAAGTTATTAGTTAATAAATACAAATACACCGTTCACGCAACGTGGAGTTATTAGTTAGCGTGTCAGTAGCAGTTGGCATAGAAATCGACCCTGTTCAAGATCGTAATGCTGACTAAAAATTTAAAAAATGGACGAATGTGAATTGGGACGAATGTGAAATGGGACGAATGTGAATTGGGACGAATCGACTCGTGGGACGAATGTGAATTGTGACGAATCGACTTGTGGGACGAATGTGTTGGGACGAAAGTGAATTGGGACGAATTGACTGTGAATCTTTGGTGCGACCTACAATCGAATTTCGCCCTAACAATTTCATTTGGACGTCTTTTTTTTAATTTTGTTGTTGTACGTCGAACATATGGGCCGGCCAGAGTCAGTCACGTAAATAATGCGGTCGGCAACATAAGGCTATGATTCCACAGCTAGTTCCATACCTAGCCCTGCGTACAGTGCTGTGTGTAAGGGGACGCGTTTGGTTGATAGATGTTCCCACCACATGTAGTTCCATACCCTGCCTCAGTGCCTGACCAAATGTTGGTCATCGACCTCTGCCCCTCGACTCGAACACGGCCCTCGGATGAAGAGCTGAACGAACTTTATACCCCCCCCCCCCTAAAATTCACTTCCTTAATATTAGCACAAATGTTGGAAACTATTCACGTGTTTTTTTGAATAACGAAATGCGTGAGGTGACACCTTACCAAATCGACTCTGAAGTCATCCTCGATTCTTGGCACCGAACTGTTTAGAGACTGTGGTTTGTTTTGTCCGATTAATATGGTTGAAAAAATAATACATACAAAAAAATACGTTTGTCTCAAATTTTCTGATTTTTACAAATATGTTAAACTCAATTTAAATTTACATTATATCACTTATTTAAGCAAGTATAATTATCTAAATTCTCGCAAATATTTTAGAACATTTGGTTACATTTAAATGAATAAATTGTGCAACGTATTAACCATCGTTCAACACCATACTCCTTCCCGTAGTCCCTTGCGATATTTTCTGAAAACCCGCGAAATCTCGCGAGTTCTCAATCGGTGACGTCATTGAATCTTATGCCGCCATTTCTGCCAACGCAAGAACGACAGTGACAGAACAGAAGAAGACTAAGTCAGAATATCTCCATTCAGGCGTTTGTGGCACCAGAAATAACATTTACATTAACAATGAGTGACATCGACGATAAATACGACAAAAAGGTAGGTCTTAAATGTGACGTGCAGCTTATAAGATTGGATTCCAAACGTGAGAAAAATTAGGAAAATTCGTCCCTGCTGCACGCGGTTGATAATGATGTTGTCCAGTTAAACCTTTTGTTAAACATTTGCACCACCCAGCTTCACTATATTGCAATGTAATTTAATAAATAAATTCGTTAGCGTAATATTTATGTTTCGTTTCACCATTTTAACCGAGCTAAACGTCGTATTAAAGAAACTTTTTTGCGTCCTTCAGGTAAAACGTGATGGTCGAGGCAATTCCCGGTCACGCTCAGCCTCTCGTTCCCGTTCTCCAGTTTCGAGGTCTCCGACGCGTTCAAGAAGCAGGTCTCGCTCAAGATCCTACTCTAGATCGCCATCCAGATCACGATCTCGCTCAGTGGATCGTAAACGGCGATACACGAGATCAAGGTCGAGGTCCAGAACGCCAAGACATATTAGAAGTAGAAGGCGACGGTAAGTAAAGTCTCCCCGTACAAAATTGATATAATTAGCACAGTACATGAAAACTACCGTGGTAGTATATGGACCAGAATTGGCACGTTTAGTTACCTATCCCCTCCCCACTAAATCAGTTTTATAAATCTAGGTAAAGTTTTAGCCTCTTTTCCAAAATATACCAAGAAACCTGCGTTTATGTCCGGTTCTGGATAGTTCTGCTGAAAGCAACCTGATGACAAAGGGTGCCAGTTGGATGTTTATTAAGTTAGCATTGTTTTGTGTTGATCACATTAATGTTGTGAGGTATGGATAACAGGCTGTGCAGGACAAATTTTGTGAAGACAAATAGGTATGCTAAGTAGAACATCCAGGGTTAACAACCATCGCAACAAATTTAAAATATCTGTTCTACAAGGCATGTATCTATCTAAAAAACAATTGATTGGGCGAATAATGATTAAACTAAACTATTGTGTAGTTTTATATTGTGTTTTTATTTGGTTACAAGATTATCTGTACTAAAATGTTAGTTTTTGTGAAATGCGAATTTTGAAATGTTTGGAACAAGGCTGAAATAAAGATAGCTGCAAAGGATTAAATTTAATTTTGAGTGTAGAGTATATTTAGCTTCAAGTAACTACCATTTCAGGTTTTGACTGGAAATCCATCACTAATGCCAACAAAATTCTATGCGTTTTCTTTCATGTGTTCGTGTATTGACTGTCTACCACTAAATAGCTCTCGAAGGTGAGTTGTGTATATTTATTGGTTAACAATTGAATGGTTTGAGGTTCTGGTCGCTGACCTTTTTAGAAGTTTTAGTTTCTTGGTGGTTATGAGAGCATTATGCATACATAAAAACTAGGTCATCTCAAATTGACATTTTTTTCCAGCTTTATTAGCATATACAGTCTTCTCCCGAGAGAAAGAGTATTGGCTAAGTTGCATAACAATGTTAACCAACTGTATTGTATTCAATGTCATGCTTAATAGACTCTATTCTTTATATAACAGTTGGGAAACCCTGGGGAGACCCCTGATGTATGCATAACATTCTTTTACAAATTTTCTGTAAACTCCAGTTCATACTGGATGCCTTTTAAATTATGATTATGTTCAGTCCTAAACTGCAACTGATCATTGGAAATAGTAAAATGTTTTTTGTTATTGTTATAATCATAGATTCTCTTTGTCTCCTCGGAGTAGAGAGTATCGCAGTCATAGCAGATCACCGATGTCAAACAGAAGAAGACATATTGGAAGTCGGGTATGTTCGGGCAGACGGGAAGTTTCTCTTCTACCACCAGTACATAAACAATTGTCATAATACATGTATAAGCCAGCAGTAAAATAGAAAAAAAAATAACATTACAAATAGTTGCCCAAGTTTTGTACAAAAGCACATGAGTGATATGCATGATTCTGTTGTGCAGGAAAATCCAGTTTGCAACTCTAGTCTGGGGATATTTGGTCTGAGTTTATACACTACTGAAAGGGATTTGAGGGAAGTGTATGGAAGATATGGAACCATTACTCATGCCAAAGTTGTCTATGATCAACAGGTAAACAATTACTCAATTTGCTCTTATCTTGCTGTGTAGGCCAATCCTGAAACCAACAATTGTCTTGGAGTATTTGGTTTGAGCCTATCAACTACTGAAAGGGAACTGAGAGAGGCTTTTGGAAGATATGGTCCAATTGCGAACATTAATGTGGTCTATGATCACCAGGTAAAATATCTAATCATTTTTTGGACGTCTTTGAAGAATTCTCTTGCATGTCTAATGAATATTATTGCAGTGTTACTTTTGTGCTTATTTGCATTTCTGTTTGTCTTCAGAGTGGAAGATCTCGTGGATTTGCTTTTCTTTCATATGAATCTGAGGAAGATGCAAGAGAGGTAGGTGATTATGGAGTTCACAAACCCATTTGAACTTCTTCAGAAATTCAATAAAGCTGTCGTTTTTTTTTTCTGGCCATTGCAACCATGAAATTAGTGTGTTAAGACCAATGCATGGCAAGTACTTAGATTTCTGGGGGCTTATTGAAATTGTAAAGTGTTGAAGGGCAACAAGACTTTAACATTTGGACCCCTCGATTATACTTAATATCCAATTGCATGCAACAAGAAAAATGGTAATCATTAGTTCAACTATGTCGACACTTCGTCAATACTGTATTTTGAAGTACATCCTACTATAAAGGTGCATTTACCCCATATTGGTAGTGTGCTTTTAATTAAGTAACCCCACTTAAATTATCAGTCATTTCTTCTGTTATTAGGCCAAAGATCGTACTAATGGAATGGAAATAGATGGTCGTCGAATTCGTGTTGATTATTCCATCACTAAAAGGGCACATACCCCAACTCCTGGCATCTATATGGGAAGACCAACATAGTAAGTGTTCAGATGTTGAAAAATACACGCACAAGATAGATTGTCACAAGGTGTTTCAGTTCATGAATTTGTAAATAATCATCTTGCCATGTGAACAGAACCATCACATATTTACATTTGTTGAAAGAAAAAAACTTGTGAACTCCCGGACGGTTGCACTTTGACTAAAGCCGCTCCATCTTAGTCAAGGTACAAGGTCTGATTTACAATAGTTTACAAAATAAGGCCAGTTATGTAGCCATTATACTTATTAGCCATACAAATAAAATTGTTATAAAGACTAGATTTACAGAAATAAGTATGTATCCTGAATGATAGGTCACATGACCAAAAATAGTAAAAGGTCCACAAATTAAACTGTAAAGTGGATTCTTAAAAATGAAAACCTAAACAAGAGTGGCATATGGTGTTCTCCATAGACTGAATTCTAGGATATTATTTTTAGTGAACATTGGTTACCGTAATTACTATAAAACAATTGCAGTAAAAGTATATCACATTCTATTGTATTCAGATTAACCGTCTCTGGTTGATAATCATATGGGATGAACTTTGGATATAACAGACATTTTGGATGGTGCTTGTTGCACTAGTTTTTATGAACCTCTTTAAATTTATTTTTTTAGTCCAAAAAGAGGTGGCTATGACAGAGACCCTCCTTATGAGAGAGAACGAAGCTCTTACAGAGACAGAGACCGTTACAGACGATCTCCTTCCCCATATTACAGACGATCACCATCACCCTACTACAGACGACGATATTCTCGATCACGTTCCAGGTCTTACTCTAGATCTCCACGTAAGTAGTCTTCAACTTTATTCCCAACTTGTTTAAAGATTGTTCAGCTAAGTCAAGTTTTTAAAATATACACCTGTGTATGGTTCACCTGATAACAATAATGAACAAATACTGATTTATTGGTTTCTGGTTAGTGATTTGATTAGTGCACACCACTCGTGTTGAACTAAAATTAAGATATACTGCCCTGCAGTATAAAAAAATGATTCTTGACTCAAACATATGGTAATTTTACTTATTTAATAATGTTGTAATTGATGACCAGTTGGCATTTTATTTAAATATTTGTTTGAATATTTGATCTGGTAAGTGACATAACTAAGTACTTGATGGTTTCACCATAGGCAATTTTCTTGTTACTGCGAGATCCTGCGTTGTGTGCAATCATATGTAAAAACGAGACAAAGAAAAATCGTAGTGGCATGGGATTCAATGCTATTTTTTGTGTATACTTAATCAAGCTATAAACATTCGATGGTCAATTTTGATAAAGAAAATTTATCTTGAGATCTCGCAGTAACAAAAAAATTCTGTTGAGTAACATTTGCTTCATAAAATTTAAAAAAAATAACTTTCTTACATACATACTGCTGCACATTTAAAATGCCTAATTTTAAGCCACAGCATTATTCATTGTTCTACCAGTTATTCTTATTTGCGCTTTATGCTTTCTTTTACCTACTATAGGACGATATTAATCCGATGTACCATAGCTGCTCACCCGGGTATCCACAAACTATCCAGACTGTAAATTTTTGCTACGTGTTGCTTATAGTAGCGACTCTTATACAAGTCAATTTCAATGACATAAAATGACTGAGAAGTTTTCATTTATTCAGTATGCATTTATGTTCTTTTATGTTAGGTTTTTGTAATCTGTAGTAGTTTATCAAGTCGGTTTACACCCAGTTGGGAAACAATTTTTTGTAGCATAGTTAGCTGTTCATAAATCAGCCTTGAAAGAGGATTGTCCATTTAGTATACAATACATGTACAAAAAGTTTCACCTTTTTTTTTAAAAAATAAAGCGAAGGTTAAAATATTTTTTGGGCCTAACTTGTATTTCTCCTTGTAGTCTATTGAAGGCAATGAAGACAATGTCAGAAAAAATGAAAATCAAGAGAAGGCACGAGTAGGGCAAAATGAAAATACCTCGGTTGTCTATTCAGTTGAAGTTTAGAAGGGTGAATGAAGTTTGAAGAGAAGAATGAAAACTGAAGAACGGCGACTAAATTTAGAACCTCGCTTCGCACGATAATTGGCGAAAATTTTCGGGTGTGCCACTGCTTTCAACCGAGAAAAATGAAAGTGTGCATTGTTTGGAGAAGTTCAAATAGACTCCAAGGGGGAAAGAAGATTGAAGAATGAAAGCAAAAAATATGAAGTAAATTTTTATTTGCTTTTTTTTTTTCGAATGAAAAAAAAATTTGGCAACTTTTTCCATGTGATTCTAAATGTGAATTCCCACATGAAGCTTCCCACATGATAGATGGATAAATACCAGTCACCTAAATTGTTTGAAAGGAACTCACCAAATATATTGCCTTTTCAGTTTAGACTGAAGCTCGAAGAGTTTTTGAAGAGCAAGAATGCAAAATGAAGAAAGAAAATGGGAAGAGAAAAAAAAAATGAAGAATCAAAATTAACTAGAGGGTAAACGATTGCGCTCTAATGAGCTTTTCTTGCCAGATTCTTGTCCCAATTTTTAGTGGTTAGTTATATTTGGAGTGTATGAAAGGATGGTAAGTATTGTTAGGTAAAATGAGTAGGTTTTTGCTTGATGAAATTGTTTGCAGGTGGAGTTAGAAAACTGATGGATTGAAGTGGAAACTGCAAGACCTCTAGCTGCAGCAGTGTGGATCAAAGAAAAGATTGCAGAGAATGCTGCTGTGCGAGGTGTTACAACATGGTTTAACGGAAAACCTGTCAAGTCATGCCGATTACATTTGTTGGTTTATATAAATTTTATTGTAAACTCTCAAAATTTTGTACAAGTAAAGATATAGTATAAAGATACAAATGTTGCTTTTCTTAAATCTTGGTTGAAAGTATGTAGTGTTGTTGCAAAAGTGAATTTTTCTAGGTGCATGTGGAATCGTAATTTTGGCCACAGTATTCCCATGTCTGCTTATGTGCTAATTGTGAATATGGTAAACATCAAAGTACTGGCTCTCCTGGGTGTATTCAATTAGAGGTCATCATTGACATCCTCGATCTACTCTTAGGCCCAATTATAGCCTCCCCATATTAAAAAAATACTAACAGAATATGTGCAAGTAGCTTGCTAATTGTATTTACATTGCCTTTAGGGATGACATCAAAAGATCGATGTTGGATAAATAAAAAACTTAATCCTTTAGTTTTTTTCCAAACCACGTTCATTTGTGTTGGCAACCACATAACAATTGCAGTAATACGACTTGTAAGTCGAATATATTTCCTTTGAAATTGCGCCCAGAACTTTATTCGTACCAAAGGCATGCAATCAAATCCAAACATCACAGTATCGGCCTTTATAATACAAGGTCGATGTCTCAAGTGCGGCGTTAGGGACGACGTCAAAAGATCGATGTCTGAAAAAAAAAATTGATTTAGTTTTTTTCCAAACCCCCTACCCCCCCCCCCCCCACTGAAACTTAATTGATAAATATTGGTCATGGCGTCAAACTACATTCACCATTAAATACAAATTGATAATCGGACAGTAGTATAGCAGTTGGTTGTCGGGTGGGTGTAAAAAAATTTT